TCACATTAAACTATAATAATGCTACCAATAAAACTAAGTATATATTTTTGTAAAAAAAAAAAAAAGGATATATAAACAGAATTAAGATTCGGATAACGCATGATCCCATTGTCTAATAATAACCCCGAGTACCTCCACGTACCATAATTAGTATAAACATAATTTTCATGTTAATTGAGACCTCTCTTCATCATTTATTGAAAAGAAATAAAAAACTACTATTTTCATTGAGATTAGAGTCAAAGTTATGTCTGATCAATTCAATTATTCTAACTGTCATTTCTGAATTTATGTAGTATTCACTTGATATATAGTAGCTAGATAGGATAATGAAAATGATGTGATGTAATATTCATGCGCGTTACCAATTAGATGATGAGGTATTTAATTATCTACTTCAAGAGCTCAAACTTTTAACACAAGTTCCATATTGAACGTGAGATTAATCAACACTGAAAGCTCCGAACAGATCTATATATATTTCACGAGTTGATTAATATGTTTTTTATTTATTGCTTTTCCTATTATATTTGTAGTCATGTTGGACTATTTGCTTCTACAAAAGAAAAATGAAACGAGAAATAAAACAAGAAATCAAAATGCAAATGCCTGCAAAGCAGTAATCTGGCAGATCAACAACGGCCAGCTCTGGCATACTCAAGGCACCGCATACGTATACCAAAAATACACATATCATGAATAATATATATGTGTGTTTGTAATATATATATATATATATGGGTAAAGTCTCCGAGTTATTGGTATTTGTTCATTTTTCTTTAAAATGTGTATATTTCTTCACTAGAACGTGTATATTTTTTTTTAAAATATGTATATTTTTTTTATAATAAAATATGTTTTAAGAAAAAATATACACATTCTAAAAAAGAAATATATATATTTTAAAAAAAAATTAATAAGTGCCGCTCCGATCGGGACTGGAACAATTCATATATATATATATATAATGATGTATATTCAACATGGGGCTTGGTATCTTAGTGATCTAGGTCATGACACATGCACAAGATATTTAAGAGAAAATATTAGTTTAATGCACACGTGTCCCAACAATGACATGCAAGCATGTGGAGGCCATTAGTATTATTATCCTCTTCGTAGAAAGCCAGAGAGCCTATAGTCTCCATGCCATTTGTGCCCTTCATTCTTAGCTCTGCCTGCCTTTGGATGCTATTTTGGTCACGTTCCAAGACCACAATAATATTATTTCTTACCCACTTGCATTTTCTATTCTCCCTCACCACGCTCCAAGTTAGAAGCACTCACATTGTTTTTGCTTATGTTCTTAGTTCAGATTAATCAAAAAAAAAAAAAAAAAAAAAAAAGAGCTTTGATTTTTTTTATTTTTTATTTTTTCTCTTCGGATATTGGTGAAAAGGGCTTAGGTCAAGTCTTTCTTGTTGACCTTCCCTTTTCACTAATATTGTTTCAATATTAGATTAATTGATTTAAGTTATGACCAAAGTAAAAAAAAATGGCGAGCTTTCTTGATTTTTTTTTTTACCACGTTCACTTTACCGATTTGAGTTTAGAATTTGAGTTTTACTACAATAAAAAGTTCTCAGAAACAGGCACATCTAACTTTTTTGCTATAGTAAAAAGCTCTCACATAAAAGTACATCTCAACTTGAATTACAAACTCGAATCAGCGAAGTGAACGGTTAATAAACTGCGACGGTAAGTATTCTTGATGCTTTTGAAATATATATATATATATATATATATATATATATTATATCTTAGAGTCTGAAAGAGGGATTGTGTTGTAAGTTGTAAGTACAAAAATTTAATGATGGAAGGTTAAAGTAGGTCCAACAGATTGAGATCGCCTTCCATTTTTTTTTTTTTTTTTTTAGCGAAATGAATGTAACAATTTGAGAGAAAAATGGTGCTAGGATGTAATGTTCTTTCTTAGTCTGATGTGATCAGTTGTTTATTCTTTGCAAGGTTATTTCTTGCATATATATATTGAAGCTCTGTAATTTTTCATGAATAATATATATAGTCAAATTAGCTAGGTCTATGAAACGGGAACAAATTAATACAGTTATTAGGGTTAACATCATTTTTAGATTTTCACTTTTACGACAAATTTAATTTTGGTGCATGATGTTTAAAATGTTTTAAAACGAATAGCCAACATATTAGATCCTTTTCTTTTCATTGTTATTTTCACAATTCGAGTTGGAGTTTTTCAACTCGAGTTAAATTATTTCAATCTTTTCTTTTAACCACCTAAATTTGAACAATATCTTCTAAGGATAAAATATCAATATGGGTTAACATATGGTTACTCTAGATTTATGAAGGACTCGTTTGGTTATAAATAGATTTGAACAGAAATTTCACTTTTGTGAGATAAAATGCTATAATAAAAATGTTTGAACAGTAATTCAAACCGATAAAGAAACACATGAGAAAACATCAAAAAAAGATATCGATATTGGTCCAAGTATTGAAAAAAAAAACTTTTACATGTAGCAGGAAGACTTGTTATAAAACTTAAATACATACATATATATATATATATCTATGTATTTTAGGATAATATAAACATTGAAAAGAAAAATACATAATAAACAAGTTTTACTTGGGGAATTTTATACATTTTAGACAGAAATTTCAATATCCAAAAGGGCTTTATGAGACTCAAACATGATTGGAATATTCAAACAATAACGATACCATGATTTAAATAATTAAATAGTGCTGAATATAATTGGTTTATAGATTCCTCCCATTGTAACGCCATAAATGGAAAACTATAAATTCTCCTAATCATTTGCTTGGGTGAAGATAATTGAAAATTCTATATCCATGGTAGTCATCAGAATTTGGTCATATGTATTTAAAAAAAAAATGAAGAACCCGTTGAAGTAGTTTGTTATAATTGGATCTCAAATTTATAAGAACTTTACATGCCAATGTGGTTTGTTTGTTTTTTTTTTTTTTTTTTAGACGTATAGGACATTGTTTTTGAGAAGTGTGGCATTTGGGAGACAAAAATACTTCTTCATCTTATAAAATATTGGTAAAAAATTTAAAATACATCTAACGTGAGTTGTTTTTCAATTTTCCTGAATTTTCAAACACTTCATCGCGATATTACGGTAACTCAAAAACTGTGTTACTTCTATCGAAAATTTGTAACTTTTCTGCAAAATTTTTGTTCCATGCTTACTAAACATTGTTTTTATGTGCCATTTTTCATTGAGATTTTACCCATCAAATGGAAAAAATAATTATTTAGAATAACTTGACATATTAAAAACTCGTTTTTTTGAACATTTTGAGAGTTAAGAACCAAAATGAGATTTTACTAATTAAAGGGCTAAAAATGAGATTAAACCTAGTTATAGTCGCTCAAATGTCTAAGCCTTGAGACAGAAAATCAAGAATCAACATATAGTCTAAGCCTTGAGACAGAAAATGATGCTGGTTTCAATTTATATGATCAAAAGAATTATTTCTGATCAGGGATGCTTTTCTGTATTAAAGAAAAACAAAAAGAAAGGAAAAAACTGATCGGAAAAGCAACAAATCTCAGCTAAACACAGAAAAAGAAATCAAAGAAAGAAAAAAAAAAGAATCAAATTTAGGGGAGTACGATCAGTCAAAATAAGAGGACGAAACGGAGAAGACACGCGGCAAACGTATGGGCCAACTGAAATCATTTTCTTCTCTTCCCTTGTATGGATTAATTTGTTTGGTGTCCCATTTCATCTTAACTCTTGCTTCTCCACTTTCATACACAAATGTCCATTCATTTCATTAATTTAAGTTTAAAATTTAAATTTTTTTACAATAAAAAACTTTTATAAATAATCACATTTAATTTTTTTATTATAATAAAAAATTTTCATATAAAATTACATCTCAACTTAAATTTTAAACTCGAATAATGAACGAGGCCACGTTACAAAATCTCATCTTCCCATTTATTAATTCTTCAAAAAAAAAAAAACCCAATTTCCCATTTTCTTCTTCTTTTTGTTTTCTATATATAATTTAAAAAAAAATGCTTTCTTCGGTCAAGGAGAGAGAGAAATAACACACCGCTCGGTCATCCCATAAAAAGCTTCCACTTTGCTTTGCTCTCTTATCACTCTCTCTATCTCTCAATGATTTAAATAAATACCATTAATATTCACCATATTTCCCTCTCCCTCTCTCTCTCTCTCTCTCTCTCTCTCTCGTGTGAGAAAGAACCTCGATCCTCGTGCAAACCCTCTTGGACTCTCTTTCTCTTTGTTAATTATCAAATATCTCCTTCTTCCTCTTCTACTTAGTGCTTTCTCTTCCTCTTCTTCTTTATCTCTTCTCCTCTATATCTGTGTCACTCTCTTCTCTCAAACCATTTACCTCTCTCTCTCTCTCTCAACTCTCCAGTTATACTTATTTCATATTCATATTTACCGTCTCCCCTCCTTCTTAGGGTTCAAACTTCAACACTCTTTTTCCCAAAATTCTAAAAAAAAACTCAAGTTCATGGTTTGATATTTCCAAAGATAACAAAACCCCACATCTCTTTCACGCTCACCGACGAGAACGACACAAGACAACACAACACAACCCACCAAAAACGACACCAAAATGGATTCATCTTCTTCTCAGAACTGGCTCGCCTTCTCTCTCTCCAACCACCCCCACTTGCCCCTCTCTCTCTTCGAGGCCTTCTCCTCTCCCTCCCCCGGTAACCCCTCTCTCTCTCTCTCTAGCTTTTCAAATATTCAAACATATATGTGTTCGTGTATACTGTATGTATATATATATATATATAATCTATATACTTCTTTTCATATATGTTACAGCTAGTGTGGTGGATAGAAGTACTAACACGACAACGACAACAGAAGATCATCACCATCATCATGTCTCTACCGGTGCAACCGACCTCGCCATGTTCACCGGCGGCGGGGGTCCGAAGCTCGAGGACTTCCTCGCCTTCCCCGGGCGGGGGCGTGCCTCCCCCCCCGCCGATGGCTCACTTCTCCGCCGAAACGACGACCGTGCCCTTATCATCTAACAACAGCACTACTGCGGCCGAGATGTACGAGTCCGAGCTGAAAACCATAGCCGCTAGTTTCCTTCGCGGTTATAATAACCCTAGTAACACTAATAATAATGAACAAATCGAAGCCCTAGAACCGCCGGCCATGGCGGTGGCCGTAGCTGCTCCCGGGGGTTTATATATTATATATGTGTGTGTTGTGTGTGTATGTATATCACCCAAAAAAAAAGCTTTTACTTGGTTATGTTTACAAATCTAGCATTAGAAGATAAAAAGATAACATGCTAAAAGTAATTTTTTTTTTTTTTTTGTTTACTGATTTTACCGCGTAGTTTTTATGGATAATTAATATTGATTTTTTTGTAAAATTATTTGGTTTGAAATTTTAGACATAGATGGACTGGAAGATACGAAGCTCATTTGTGGGATAACAGCTGCCGACGGGAAGGGCAGAGTAGAAAAGGAAGACAAGGTGATTTATTATTATTATTTTATGTATTTTTTTTATTATTTTATTTTTGATTTTGTTGTATAGCGTTTGTTGTTTGTGGAACCGTGTCTAACGTGCGCCTGTGTGTACTAAATGCCTGAACCGGGTCCGACATTATTAGTAGATCTGTTTCTGAGCCTCCGTGAATTCTGAATCATCCTGATTGGGAGAATTAGTCGGTGTGACAGAGGACTCTCTCTCTCTCTTATGCCCGGCATAAATGGGGGTTAAAAAATGCAAATCCCAAGAAGGGAAAATTTATTTTTGTACTAAAATCCAATGGCTGAAATTAGATCTTTGTGTTGAGTTTTGAACACTAATGGCGTACGTTAGCATCGGAGCACTTGGTTTTGCTATTGTGCGCATTTGTAATAAATATATATTCTGAGAAAAATGATGCATGAGAGAGATTCTGACGTGAGTGGGTTTTTTGTTTTTCTTTGAACATTGGACGACGACCACCATAATCATTGCTGCCATGGATATGGAAACTCTTTGCAATAATCATCATCTTCAGTTTATTTAGGTGAGTGAGTGAGTGAGTTTTCTCTCTGTCTTTTCAATATCTTTCATGTTTATATATTATTATTTTTTATATTATTTGAAAATCATCATTTTGTTTTTGAGAATCTTTCCTCCTAAGTACATCATTATCATCAAGTTCAGATTGACTATATATGCAGACAGATTTTTATCGTTGCTGTCGAAAGAAAATATTCTTTTTTGCACGAATGAATCATATCTTCCATAGATTCTCTTATTCAGATTCTTAATGTGGAAAATAACAGTGATTTTTTTTTTCTAAAAATAAAAAATAGGTGGATATGATAAGGAAGAGAAAGCAGCGAGAGCTTATGATCTGGCTGCTCTAAAGTACTGGGGTCCGACCACCACTACAAATTTTCCGGTAGCCTTGTTATTTTATTTATTTTTTGGTTTATTTTAGCTTTAATACATATACGTATAAGTATGTATATATACACTTTCTTTTTATGACATTTGGATCTGAATATTACATGGTTAATTTTAAGGTTTCTAACTACGAGAAGGAACTTGAGGAGATGAAGAACATGACTAGGCAGGAGTTTGTTGCTTCTCTTCGAAGGTAAAAATTAATACAATTTTAGATATTACATATCAACTCTCTTTAGTATTCTTGTTTTTCTGTTTTGCTTTCTTAAAGAAATACTCTATTTAAAATAAAAATAAAAATGTGATATATCTTTATGTGTCTATTATTATATGTAGGAAAAGTAGTGGGTTCTCTAGAGGAGCCTCAATCTATAGAGGCGTCACAAGGTATGTTGTGTGTGTGTGTGTGTGTGTGTGTGTGTGTGTATATATATATATATATATATTATCACACGTTTTCTCTTTTTTCATTTTTCTCTTTTTATTTTTTTTTATTTTTATTTTTTTGGTTTAGGAGTAAAACCAAAAACTAATAAAATAACACATTCTCCTCAAATTATTTATTGCAGGCACCATCAACATGGTAGATGGCAGGCAAGAATAGGAAGGGTTGCAGGCAACAAAGACCTCTATCTTGGCACCTTTAGTAAGTCCAATCTTATACTTTTTTTTTCAATAAATTTATTTTTTACTTTATCAATATTAAATAATGTAATTATTTCTAAGTTTTGTTAATTACCACAAAGTTTAATAATCTTTGCCTCGTCCCTTGTCAAATAGGTACCCAAGAGGAAGCAGCAGAGGCATACGACATTGCGGCCATAAAGTTCAGAGGCCTAAACGCCGTGACCAACTTCGACATGAGCCGCTACGACGTCAAAAGCATCGCCAGCAGCAACCTCCCCATCGGCGGAATGTCCAACACCAACAAGTCGAAGAACAGCTCGTCCGACCAATCCCTCTCTGCCGACAGCAAGACCGCCACCGTCGACGACCGAGACGGCCTCTCCTCGGCCTCCTCCACCCTCAGCTTCGCTCTCCCCGCCGCCGCAGCCATCAAACAAGACCCCTCGGAGACTTACTGGTCCAACATTTTCGCCTTCCAAAACCCTAGCACATCTACCGTAGCCAAAAACCCTAGTACCCCTACCGCGACCTTTTTTCATACTAACCCTAATTCTTCTCTGCCTCTCAACATGGAATTCTCCGCAATTACTACCACTACTACTAGTGATCACCACAACAATGGCGGCTTTTTCGCTTATTCCCATCATCAACAACAACAACAACAACAACATCAAAATGGTACTAGTGCCGGTAGTAATACTACCAATACGGCGCCGTTTGGCATGCCCATTTCCGTACACAGCAACAACAACAATAGTACGACAACTTATGATCAAACATCTTCTTCTTCTGGGTATAACAATAGTGGGAATAATTGGAATAATATTGGACACGCATTTCACCATCGTCAATATCAGGCTCATCATGCGAAGCCCAACACTCTTTTTCAGACGCCAATCTTCGGCGTGGAATGAGGTTTTTTTTTTTTTTTTTTTGGTTTTCTTAGCATGTGATTTTAAAGGATAATCTCATGTGTAGTTTTTTAGTTTAATAGTAGTAGTAAGAAGTACTAGAAGAAGACAAAAGTGTTTTTGGAGTTTTTCATGCAAAAAGGAGACGAGAGAGAAGATGACGATTTATGAATATGGGGAATATGTTTGTTTGTTGTGGTGGAACTGACAAACCATAATTCACTCAGGGACCAGAGAGCTGCTGACACTGTACTAAGGTTGTTCTTTTTTTTTTTCTTTTTTTTCTTTTGCCTTTTTTTTAGCCCTTTGGCCTTTTCCTTTTTTTTTTTTTTTTTTTTTTTTTACTGACATGATTTTAGATGGGCATAACTGGAAAGAAATCCTTTTGTAATCCTTTCATTTTGTTAGTATGAAAATTTACATCAGTGTGAAATATAGATGTATTTCCTCTATTCGACTCACATTCTTTTTAATTTTTTTTTTTAAAGTCACTTTTTCTGTTACACAATAGTATTTTTTAATTATGAATTCATTTTTCAATTTAAATTCTCCCTCAAATAAGATCATAATATTATAAAATAACTTTTTAATTTAAATTCTCCGTCGAACAAAATTTTTAAATTCACTTTTTAATTTAAATTTTTTACAGTATTTTTTTTAATATGAATTCACAAAATTATTCGAGTTAAATTCTCAATAAGATCATATTATATAATATGCACATGTAGCAATTATCCTCTCGTCCTCGCTATGGACTTTTAAGTTTATATTGTGTATGCTATTTTGATCGTTATATGATATCAGTTGTGATTATGATGTGAGTGATGCCATCTATATCATGTACTTGTAGATAAAGTAGGGAATATAATTTATTAAAGGGTATGTTTTCGCACTAATTGATACTATATTAATCTTAAAAAAGTATAGCTAATTATAACTAGTGCACTTAGTGGTATCAATTTGTGGTAGAAATAATGACAATGAAAAGAACGAAAAAGAGAAGTGGTAAATTATGTATATACTTATTGTTAAATCATACATATAATTTCTTAATATATCGTTTTGGCATGATGGCTGAATTAACATAATTTAAGCACTCCAATAATGTTTTTTTCCCATTATATACAGCACTAGATATAGAAGTGGATCCATAATAAATTATTATGGTGGTAATTTAATTAATTAATTATTGGGGAAGAGATCAATAATGTTGAATCTTTTACATAGGGTATTGATTCAGTCTCATGTAGTAGCTAGGAAGAAGGTAGATGGTATTTCATTCAGAGAAATTATTCAAGTTCATTTAATTTATTTCAGGTGCAGTCCATATGTTTAACTATATATCATATTCCTTTCTATACTAGGCTAAAAATGCTCAACATGTAGGAATAGCTTTTAATCATCAAATCACGTCAAAATTAAATTAGATCAATTAAAAAATGCGATAATTTAATTGAATTTTATAAAAATTAATCTAACAGTTAAAAATTACACCGTGTCATTATAAGGATATTATTTAGTAATTTGAGACTTACATGAATTCATCATGAATAAGAGTACTCATAAGTGACGACATAAAACACTACACAGTACTTGCATGTAGCTTGTTATATTTGTGCTCTTATTTAAATTTATTAAAATGATCTCTCAAGTGGTTGGCTACGTGAGTGTATGAGTCAGAATTTAAATTTTAGTGATCATCTCTTCTTGATATAATAGGAGTCATAAACATCACGCCAAAAAGATAAAATAACTTATTAAATTCTCCTATCAATAGATGGAGGACTTCATTAATTTTTTTTTTTTTTTTGGGTTAAAACTAAGAGAGAAGACTATTAACTCTGAAATACGCTAATAATAGAAAGGTGTATGATCTTCTTATATTTTATTATATCTTTCTATTAAAAAAAAATTAATACTAGTTTGAATTGAGCCTATAGATATAACTTGGCTCTGAAATACGCTAATAATAGAAATGTGTATGATCTTCATAGATTTTATTATATCTTTCTATTAAAAAAATTAATACTAGTTTGAATTGAGCCTATAGATATAGCTTGGCGTTATCACTTTTAAATGCTATACACACTATATATATACATGGAAACTTGGAAGGAATTTTAAGCTCTTGATTAGAGGGGTCACTTGCTGAGTCCCTGCTTTGACCAAAAGTGAGAGAAACCAAAAGCAAGAATATTACAAACAAACTTTAACAAGATAATAATATACAATGAGACAAAGAACAAAACCCATCAACATTAGTATAGTACTACCCTAACTTCTTGTGTTTTATGTGAGCTTTTTGGAGAATTGAGATTCAAACCTTTTTTTTTTTTTGTTTAAAGAAAAAAAAACAACAAAAATACTGTCTTTTCTTGTCTGTCTCATATATCCCCTCCCTTCCTTTAAGATGATGGCATGTCACTTTGTACCTTTCGGCGCCATTAGATCCTCGCCCCACCAGGGCCACCATTCTATTTGACCACTGTTTAATTTGACTCTTCTTTAATATCATCTTCATGATCTGCTTCTTTTATAATATACGCTTAATTTTAAGATCTATACATGTTAAAATATAAAATTATTGTTTATCCATTTCTTAATAGTTTAAGTTTTTGAGATGGATTGATAAACTAACATGGTATTAAAGCAGGAGATTTTGATTTTAAACTCCCGTAATTACACTATTTATCCTCATTTAAATTGTCATCACGTGTTGAGTCTTTATATATCTCGAGCTTAAATATTCATGTGTTGGGTTTTCTAATTAATTTACCCACACGATTGTCCATTGTCCAGCCCACACGTGAGGGGGAGTGTTAAAGTATAAAACTATTGTTGGCCCACATCCTAATAGTTTAAACTTTTAGGATGGATCGGTAAACTAATAATATAACACTTCTAACCAATTAAATATTTATATATATATATATATGTGTGTGTTTGCACGCATGTATAGGTTCGTTTTCGGTATGCAAAATACCGAAAACGAACCTACGCAATGAGAACGTTGTTACACATGTATAAAGGTGTATCATAATATTATTATTTTGATCAGTATATATGCAATGATTTTTAGAAAGTATGATATTAGTTTACACAATTACTTTGTTATCTTAATAATTATAAATTCATTGTTACACAAAACAAGTTATTGTTACATCTTTTTAAGCACCTAAAGCCCGTGTGTGTGTGTGTCTAAATTTGGTGTTTGTGCTTGAAAGGTTGTAGAGTTAATCAAAAATCTATTCATGAGCATATAATAATCTGTATATATATGTATATTATGGGCACGAATAATGACTTGTGAGTATACCATTTATCAGTGTTGCTCAACACAGTTTTGTAAACAAATAAATTCAATAATATTCTCATGTTGTTTGTGAGAAAGGGAGATTTTGAAAATACGTGCAAATTATTGGATACAACCTGGACATGAATTGGGGGTTAGAAATTTTGCAAATACTATTAGCACCATAAAAAAGGTATATACATGTATATAAATATATATATATATATATATATATATATATATATACGGAACCGTGTGTATCATGAGTTCAGTACATGTAGCATTTTAACAATTATGATGCTAGGTGATAACACTTTTATTTGTTAAGTAAGACTAGTAGATTTTCTCAATACAATATTAGCAGTGCTTAATAAAACTTGTACATTGGGATATCAATGCTTGATTGTTTTTTTTAATTTGATAATTTTATCCATATTCACACAATTAATCGTATTAATTTAGTGCGGAGGCATGCATGGTAAAATTATATAAGTGCATGCAGGAATCTTTATTAAATTGTAATTTGCTAAATAAATATGATTGATTTGCTTCGTATCAAAGAAAAAGAATTATTTATTCCGATATGCAAAATTATTATGGAAAATTTGTCTCCTGAATTAATATTTGGTTTTTTACTTCTCTCAAAAAAATGGAAACCAGTTCTCTCATGCGTATTAGCTAGCTAGCTAAAATATTTAGGGCTGCGCTTCTAAAAAAATTAAAAATAATAATAATAATAATAAAACATTTAGGACTGTCTTGCCCCTAAGGGGAAAAGGAAGCCTAAAACGCTTGTAATCATTTTAGGAAAGCAAGTACATACTTTTGATTTATTATTCAATCGAAATACAAAACTCTTCTTCCGTATACATGGGTTTGAGAAATATTAACATCATTTTTATTTTTTTATTAATTATTTGATACGTAAATTTTACTCTCTTATTTTTTGTTTAAATAATAATATATTATATTAATGGAGTTTACAAATCGAACAATAAATATGAGTGACAAAAAAAATGATAGAAAAAATAATGTTAACATTTCTCATATAAATTTTTATTCATTCTGCTCTTATATATAATCTTTTGTGAAAACTACAATTACAAAATACGCATGAAGAATAGCAGCAAATTAAAAAGCTTTGGGCTATTCGTACGGCTAGCTTTATACAAAATATTCCTCACAAAATGGTCACCACACTCACGAACACATCATAATCAATAATAATTCCTGAAAAGACTACGTTAAGGATGCAACAGTTGTAATTTAATAAATTTGGTCAAATATATAGTCCAATAATCATATTTATGCACTGTCACCCAACTTTGCAGTTTAATTATAATACATGGTTAAAACTAACTAATTCCCTTTTTAGATTCTTAATTAACATGGGCCAATTATTAATTTGGAAGCATATCAAAACTAGGCAGATTTTTTTTTTTTGGCATGTCTAGTATAAAGTAACAATGTTATCTATAATAATAGTACCATATATATATAATTTACTATTTTATGTGCCAAATGGCGCCTACGTTAACATTGTACATGACCATCAGCCATTAGGATAATTGAAAGATGGTCTAGTAGCATTAATATACTAAAAACAAAAATTTGTAAAGAAAAACTTTATCATAAATCAAGTGAAAGAATACCAAAACACTTTGCACTTCATGTCTACTTTTTTTTTTTTTTTTTTTTGTCTCTCTCTTACTTTTTTCAAAAACAAGGTCACACAATCACATGCCATTTCCTGAAAAGGTTACCTTATAAAAATGTCGCAAGTATTAGTCAAATATTGTAAACACTGCAAAAGATTATTTCCCTTTACCTTTTCTTTACTCCACTTTAAACTTGTGGGGGACCCTTTCTTTTCTTTTTTTTTTTTTTTGGGTAAGATTAGTCTCAATCCATGTTTCCCTTTTGTCTTGCTCACAAACAAGTCTTGTCGGCCACACCCTCTCTTAAAATATTGTTTTCTTCAAAATTAATATATACACATATCCAAGCTACGAAATAGTAT